GTTTTGGAGGGGGGGGGGGCCGGGGGCGCGCTGCCGACCCCATGCCAAAGACCATGGGTAGACCCGAACGGTGTGTTCGGCGATTCCGTGGGCCGTTCTCGTTTCGAAATCGCTTGGCCGCAAGGGCGGATGGAAGACACAACGAGGGACAGCGTCGCAAGCAGAGCGAGCACGACACACCCTGCCTGGGCCGATCCCCGTGCCAACGACGCAGGCGCTAAACGACCACGACGAGCGCAGGGCGCGCTGGAGCTCCTGGCGGGCCGCCGCGGCGGGCGCCCTCGGGGCGGCCTCGCTGGCCGCCGCGGCGTGCCTCGGCTGCCCCGCGCTGGTCCCGGCACGGGGCCGCCGCGCCGCACCCCAAGAGGCGCGGGCCGCTCGCCTCGTCGCCGCGGGCGGCGCGGGCGATCGACCCGCACCCCGGGCGCGTCTGGGCCGATGGCCTCTGGCTGTCTCTTCCAGCCTCCCTGGGGGGCCGTCCCCCCCTCTCCTCCTCCTGCTCCTGCTCCTGCTCCTCCTCCTCCTCCTCCTCCTCCTCCTCCTCCTCCTCCTCCTCCTCCTCCTCCTCCTCCTCCTCCTCCTCCCCTTCCTCCGTCAGAGGAGGGCGAGGTGCCCAGGCCGCTCACTCGCCCCGCGGTCCCCCTCGCCGCCACCGCCAGGCTCGCCTCGAGCTTCTGGCCAGAACGCACCCCGCGAGACGTCCGGGGAGAAGCGGGATCGGCACTCGATGGCTTCCCCAGTCAAGACACGGCACGGGATGATAATTAATCGAAGAGGGACAAGCGGCACGAACAGAAACTTTCGGAGCTCCGCGCGGATTCCTCGGATCGGTGTTGGGACCCCCTGGCGGCGCCTCCAGCGCCGCCCCTGGCGCGCTCCGCGCGACAGGGATGGGGGGAATCCGCGCGGGCCTCCGACATTTTGGGGCTGATGGCCTCTGGCTCTTTTCGGCCTCCGGGGGTCCTGACTGCCCTGAGGGCTCGACGACTTGTTTTTCGCCACTCGGCCTATGATGATCAAGCGGGATAGATGACGGTAGATGCTGCAGATACATCGAGGCAGCTCGACGCAGGAAACAACACGCCATAAACATAAACATTAACTCGTCGCGCTCCGCGCGCATCTCTTGAATCCGCGCTGGGCCCCCCTGGCGGCGCCTGCGGCGCCGCCCCTGGCGCGCTCCGCGCGTCAGGGGGGGTCCAGCGCAGATCCCCCATGTCCGCTCGGAGCGCCACAAGTTTCTGTTAATGTTGCTTTTTCTTCTTCGATGGCCTCTCCCTGATGTTGTCCGCTTCGGATTGGAGATCGACCACAGAATTGATTTACCCCCAAAGTTGATTTGTCCGTCGAATCTACGACAAATGCATCTCATGTTCTGCAGATGTGCGAACATTACACGTATCAGTTTGCGGATTGCAGATTCGGCGAGCGAACCAAATTTGGGGGGAAAACCGATTTGGGGGGAAGCCAATTCTCTAGTCGATCTCCAAGTCGACCTCTGGGGCCCGTCATCGGCCGTGGAAGCGGCCTCGAAAAAGAGGCACCTGCAGGTGCAGTCAAGCCGCGTAGGGAGGATGAGCGATCTTCCAGGGTTGCCCCTTGCATCCTTCCCCTTCGGCCCATCCTTGGCCGCTTTCTCTGGCCGCGCCCCGCTCGCAAAGTGTCGGCATGGCCTTCAAAGGCCTTTGCATCCTTATCGCGCGTCCTTCTTATACGGGTTGACTGCATTAACATGCCGCCGCGCCGTTTGTTCCGCCGCGCGGCCGTACGCCTGCGCTTCGGCCACCAGTGCAAACTCTGCCGCGGACGCGGGGTTTGCCGCGGGTTTTGCCGCGTTGCCGGCTTCGTCTGCTTGGGCGCGCCGAGAACAGACGGCGCGGCGACATGAGCATGAGCATCGGCATCCGAAGGTCCGCGCGGAGTTTCTAGGTCAGCGATGGGCCCCCCTCGCTGGCGCGCAGCGCGCCAGGGGTGGCGCCGGAGGCGCCGCCAGCGCTGATCCAAGAAGTCCGTGCGGACCTCGGACAGTGATAAGGGCCCTCTTGGCGGCGATCCAGCGATCCAGTGTAGCACGGCGGCCCCCACGGCCACCTTCATTGTCGTGGCCTCTGGCTGGGCCGCCGGCAAAGCCGCGCCTCACCTGGCAGAGATCCGGCCTTCCGCGCCGCTCGCGCTGGCGTGCTGGTCGCTGGTGCGGGGAGGAGAACGAAAGCGCCACGGGGGAGGGGTCTTGAGGGAAGGGTGGCTTGGGGCTCTTCACTGTCTTCGGCCTCCTGGGGCCCTCCTCGACCCCCGTCGGAGGGGGCTGGGACGATAACAATCCGTTCCAGTTCGTTCCGGAACGCTCTCAGAGCGTTCCGGAACGCACGCTCTGAGAAGGCCGCCGCGCCCGAGACATCCTGCAGAGCCGCGGGATCTTAAAGATTCCCGATTCATCCCCGATGTTATCTTAGTCCTGGCTTCGTCTTATCTTCACTGTTTTCGGCCTCCCGGGGCCCTCGGCGATACCACTACTCCCCAGACCTCGCCCGGGGTGCGTTCTGACCTGAATCTCGAGACGAATCCAGCGGTGGCGACGAGGGCCTCCCAGGAGGCCCCAAAAACGTGGAAACGAGGGAAGGGTGGCGGCATGGGTACCTTTTCCTCCTTTGATTCTTCGGCCCCCAGGACAGTCAAAACGGCCCTGGAGGAGAAGACAGCTCTGGGGGCTGTCCAGGCTACGTCTCCCTCGGCGACCTCTGGTTTCGCCGACGGCTGGTTTCGCCTGGCTGGTTCCGCCTGGCTGGTTCCGCCCGGCTGGCTTCGCCGCCCGGCGAGACCAGCTGCCGTCGGCGAGACTAGCTGCCGTCGGCGAAACCAGCTGCCCGACCCGACCCGCTCGCTAGGGTCCGCCCGCCCGACCCGACCCACACGTGAGGGTTCGCGCGTGCTCGGTCGAGCGTGTCCCAAATTTTCATGTCCCGCCCGCCCGACCCGGCCAGCCCGTTAGGGCCCGCCCGCCCGACCCGACCCGACCCGCCTGCTAGCGTCCGACTGCCCGATGCGACCCACCCGTTAGGGTTCGCGCGTGCTCGGTCGAGCGCGCCCCACACTTTAACCTCCCGCCCGCCCGACCCGACCCGCCGCTAGGGTCCGCCCGCCCGACCTGACCCGCCCGTTAGGGTTCGCCCGTGCTCGGTCGAGCGTGCCCAACGCTTTAATTGTCCTCCCGCCCGACCCGACCCGCCCCTCAGGGTCCTCACGCCCGACTCGATCCGACCCGCCCCTAGGATCCGCCCGCCCGACCCGACCCGCCCGTTAGGGTTCGCGCGTGCTCGGTCGAGCGCGCCCCGCAATTGAATGTCCCGCCCGCCCGACCTGACCCGCCCGTCACTGTCCGCCCGCCCGACCCGACCCGACACGCCCGCTAGGGTCCGCCCGCCCGATCCGACCCGCCCCTTAGGGTTCGCGCGTGCTCGGCCGAGCGCGCCCAACACTGTAATGTCCCGCCCGACCCGACCCGATCCGTTCGCGCGTGCTCGGTCGAGCGCGCCCCACACTTTGATGTCCCGCCCGCCCGACCCGACCCGCCTTTCAGGGTCCGCCCGCCCGACCCGACCCTCGAGATCCCGCTCGGGTCTGCCCGCCCGACCCGACCCGCCCGCTCGGGTCCGACGCCCGCCGCCCGACGACGACGACGACGACGACGACGACGACGACGACGACGACGACGACGACGACGACGACGGTGGCGGCGGCGGCGGCGGCGGCGACGGCCACGCCGACGGCGACGACGGCGCCGGTGAAACCAGCGCGGGCGAAACCAGCGCCGGCGAAACCAGCGCATGCCCCTCCCTCGAGGCCCCGGGCCCTCGTTCCGAGGCGGGGATTTCTGCATATCCACCGTCTGAGGGGTCGATCCTCGCGGACCTCCGCGGGCGGTGGATATGGATATGTTCGGGCCCATTGGCGGCCGATACTATTTATTTACATATATATATATATATATATATATATATATCCCCAAACACGAGGCCGGGGCGCCCGGGACCGCGACCTCGACGTGGCCAAAGATGGGCCCAAGACGGCAAACAGACCGCCCTCTAGACTTTGAAACGGCCCCAACAGAGCTCCGAGAGGCGTTCCAAGATGGCCTCACGAGGCCAAAATGGTTGATTTTCTTGGTTTTTTTATGCTTTTAGCTTTCTTGCTTTTCTAGCTTTCCGACGCTCCACGACTGGCCCTGGAGGTTCCCACGGGAGCCCCAAGACGGCCCAACAGGACCCCAATGGAGCCTCATGACGGTCCAAGAGAGCCTCTAGACGGCGCATGAGGCCCCCCCGCGGGCCCCAAGACGGCCCAAGAGCCTCCTAAGACGGCCCAAAAGGCTCCCAAGACGGAGAGATCCGAATTCCGAGGCCATTTTGGCTCAAGCTAGTTTTGCCCAGGGCCCGATTCTGGCGCTCCCGCCCGACAGGCTCCCGCCGTAGTTCGATCATTCGCTGCCATGCGCGCGGACAGGAGCCCGTTCTTGCCGCTCCAGCTCCCTCTCGAAAGCGACTGCGAGCCAGGAGAGGTCGCCCCCGCGCGGGCCCTGCGCGCGCCGCGCGCGCAGCGCGCTCGGGCCGCGGCGGCAGCGCTGTCGGCGGCTGCGGCGGCGCTGGCTCTGCTGGCTATGGCTTGGCGCGCGGGGCCCTCCACGGGGGCCGCGACTCTTGCCTCGCCTGAGGCTATCATTGTTGAGGCCGCCAGCGCAGATGCCAACGAATCAGCGGATCCTGACGAGAGCGACCCGTGCTCGCAGACCGGGGCGTCCTGCGCAGTTTCCAAGTGCTGCTCTGAGCCAGGCTCGAAGTGCTACAAGAAGAACGACTACTGGTTCGCGTGCAACCAAACCTGCAACCCATACTACATGTGGAAGGACGGCGGCTGGGTCAAGACAAACGAGACAGTCTGGGATTGCGAGGAGATCCGGCCGCCGTGCACGCCTAACGGAGAGTCTTGCGCACTTTCCAAGTGCTGCTCTGAGCCAGGCATGAAGTGCTACAAGAAGAACGATTATTGGAGCTCGTGCAATCAAACTTGCAACCCAAACTACTTGTGGATGGAGACCGGCTGGGTCAAGACGGACGACACACACTGGGACTGCGAGGTCATCACTATCGATAGTACCGATGTTTCGACTGATTCCGATGCTGGTAATGCTGCTGATGCCGTTGCTTCGACAGACTCCGAGTGCTCGCCAAACGGGGAGTCTTGCGCACAGACCATGTGCTGCTCTGAGCCTGGCGCAAAGTGCTACAAGAAGAATGACCATTGGAGCTCGTGCAACCAAACTTGCGACCCTTTCAGTGTGTGGGAGGTGGACCGCTGGGTGGTGACGAACGAGACAGTCTGGGACTGCGAGGAGGTTCGGCCGCCGTGCACGCCCAACGGGGCGTCTTGCGCACTTTCCCAGTGCTGCTCTGAGCCAGGCGCGAAGTGCTACAAAAAGAACGATTATTGGAGCTCGTGCAATCAAACTTGCAACCCAAACTACTTGTGGATGGAGACCAGCTGGGTCAAGACGAACGAGACAGTTTGGGACTGCGAGGACCTCACCGTGAGTCCTGTCGAATCAGCAGATCCCATCGCTGATGCAGAAGCCGAGGACGAGAAAGGCACGTGCTCGCAGGATGGGGCGTCCTGCGCACTTTCCCAATGCTGTTCTGAGCCCGGCTCGAAGTGCTACAAGAAAAATGACCATTGGAGTTCGTGCAACCAAACCTGCAACCCGTACTACATGTGGAAGGACGGCGGCTGGGTCGAGACGAACGAGACAGTCTGGGACTGCGAGGAGGTTCGGCCGCCGTGCTCGCAAGCCGGGGAGTCTTGCGCACTTACACAGTGTTGTTCTGAGCCAGGCGCAAGTTGCTACAAGAAAAACGACTACTGGTTCGCGTGCAACCTGACTTGCGACCCCAATTCGATGTGGATGGAGGACCGCTGGGTCAAGACGAACGAAACAGTCTGGGACTGCGGGGTCATCGCTATCGAAAGTACTGATAATGCCACCGATGCCGCTGATACCGATGCTCCAGCAGACTCCGCTAGCAGCTCCGATGCCTCGACAGCCTCCGCCTGCTCTCAGAACGGGGAGTCTTGCGCACAGACCATGTGCTGCTCCGAGCCTGGCGCAAAGTGCTACAAGAAGAATGACCATTGGAGCTCGTGCAACCAAACTTGCGACCCGCTCAGTTTGTGGGAGGTGGACCGCTGGGTGGTGACGAACGAGACAGTCTGGGACTGCGAGGAGGTTCGGCCGCCGTGCACGCCCAACGGGGCGTCTTGCGCACTTTCCCAGTGCTGCTCTGAGCCAGGCGCGAAGTGCTACAAGAAGAACGATTATTGGAGCTCGTGTAATCAAACTTGCAACCCAAACTACTTGTGGATGGAGACCGGCTGGGTGGTGACGAACGAGACAGTCTGGGACTGCGAGGACCTCACCGTGAGTCCTGTCGAATCAGCAGATCCCATCGCTGATGCAGAAGCCGAGGACCAGAACAACACGTGTTCACAGAATGGGGCGTCCTGCGCACTTTCCCAGTGCTGTGCTGAGCCTGGCTCGAAGTGCTACAAGAAGAACGACTACTGGAGTTCGTGCAACCAAACCTGCAACCCGTACTACATGTGGCAGGTGGACCGCTGGGTCGAGACGAACGAGACAGTCTGGGACTGCGAGGAGGTTCGGCCGCCGTGCACGCCTAACGGAGAGTCTTGCGCACTTTCCAAGTGCTGCTCTGAGCCAGGCATGAAGTGCTACAAGAAGAACGATCATTGGAGCTCGTGCAATCAAACTTGCAACCCAAACTACTTGTGGATGGAGACCGGCTGGGTCAAGACGAACGAGACAGTTTGGGACTGCGAGGTCATCACTATCGATAGTACCGATGTTTCGACTGCCTCCGATACGACTGACTCCGCGAGCAGCTCCGATGCCTCGACATCCTCCGTGTGTTCGCCAAACGGGGAGTCTTGTGCACTTACCAAGTGCTGCGCTGAGGCTGGCTCGAAGTGCTACAAGAAAAATGGCAATTGGAGTTCGTGCAACCAATCTTGCGACCCAAACTCCATGTGGCAGGTGGACCGCTGGGTCACGACGGACGAGGCAGTCTGGGACTGCGAGGAAGTCAGTCTCCCGTGCTCGCCTAACGGGGCGTCTTGCGCACTTTCCCAGTGCTGCTCCGATCCTGACTCGAAGTGCTACAAGAAGAACGACCATTGGATCGCGTGCAACCAGACCTGCGACCCGAACTCCATGTGGACGGAGGGCGGCTGGGTGGTGACGAGCGAGGCAGTCTGGGATTGCGGGGAACACATTATCGATGGTTCTGAAGCTTCGCAGAATCTCTGGGACTGGTTGCTCCACCTGTTCGGTAGGTAGCAGTTCGCAGTCCCAGTCGTCGTTTCCTCACCTCTCGTCTCGCATTCCCTCACTTCCCCCTTCATCTCATCTTGTCCTTCTCGTGCTCTCCCATGAAGGGCTGCGCCCATTTAGGGCGCCAAAATGCTAATCAACAGATCGTTGATCAGACAGGCCCAGAGGAAGCATTCCACTCATCAGGCGTTCTCAGCATACTGGAAGGGACGGTCAGAGAGCGCGTTTTCAATTTTTTTGAGTTGCCACAGGTCTGTATTGCATGTCAGACCGTTGGGCTACTTCTTCACATTCTGTCAGTGACCCTGACGAAGGAGTGGAGGCCTTCAGTTGTGAAGTTTTGAATTGCCTTCTGCTCTGATATTTAGCTATCCGCGGCAAGTGCCGCCACAGTGCCTGCCCAGCATTCTGGTTGGCGATTTTTCGAGTTGATCTGCGAGCATGGGCGGGGGGGGGGTACAGAGCAGCACAACGTGCAGGCACGGTGGCGGAGCGGATGCCGCGATGCCCACCTGAAAGCTTGGCGTGGGCGCCGCTGTTAAGCAAACAGTAGTTCCTTTGCTGCAGGTAAAAAAAAGACGGGGAGATCCGAATGGACTTTTCGGGCCGTCGGCCCCAAGAAGCTCCCAGGAGCCCCAAGAGGCGCCCAGGAGGCCCCCAAGCAGCCCCAGATGCCTCCAAGAACCCCCCCAGAGAACTCCGAGAGGCGATCCGAGATGGCCTCACGAGGCCAATATCGTTGATGTTCATTGGTTTTGACGATGTTGTTTGCTTTCTCGCTTTTCCAGATATCCGACGCTCCAAGACGGCCCTGGAGGCCCCCAAGAGAGCCCCAAGACAGCCCAAGAGTACCCCAAGGGAACCCCATGACGGCCCAAGAGAGCCCCAAGACAGCCCAGGGACCCCCAAGCGCGCCCCAAGACGGCCCAAGAGCCGCCCAAGACGGCCCAAGAAGCCCCCAAGACGGGGAGGACCCGGATGGACTGTGCGGGCTCCGGCCCCAAGAAGCCCCCAGGAGCCCCAAGAGGCGCCCAGGAGGCCCCCAAGCAGCCCCAGAGGCCTCCAAGAACCCCCCCAGAGAACTCCGAGAGGCGATCCGAGATGGCCTCACGAGGCCAACATCGTTGATTTTCATTGGTTTTTGCAGAATGTTTTCTGCTGTCTCGCTTTTCCAGATATCCGACGCTCCAAGACGCCCTTGGAGCTGCCCAAGAGAGCCCCAAGACGGCCCAAGAGGACCCCAAGGGAGCCCCATGACGGCCCAAGAGAGCCCCAAGACAGCCCAGGAGGCCCCCAAGCGAGCCCCAAGACGGCCCAAGAGCCGCCCAAGACGGCACAAGAAGCCCCCAAGACGGGGGGGGATGCGAATTGGTTGTGCGTTGCACGTGATTGCTTTGAGGTTCTTTAGATGTTGCAGCCCTCCGGCAGCCCCCCATATCGCTGTTGGGGCTCAAGCTTTTCAGCGGGTATGCGAGCCTACCCGACCAGCGCGGTAGGCGCCGTGGCCACGTTCCTGGCCGGGTTCTTGGCGCACGACGTGCTGGGGCCCGCGCTGGTGCACGAGGCGAGCGGCCTGCCTCCGCGCAGCGGGCCAGGCCACGAGCTGGAGGCCAGCTCAGCTCGACGAGCAGCACCTCCACGAGCACCAGCACCGTGCTGGCTTGCTCGTGCCCGGCGCCGCCGGCGCCGAAGGAGCCCGAGCCGTCGCCGCTTCGAGTGGCAGGCGCGGGGCTCGACGCGACCGTGGAGGTGCCGCTTGCCGTGGTGCTGGGCGTCGGGACGCTGGTGACGCTGGCCGCCGCTGCTGGCTGCTGGAGCCGAGTGGAGGACCAAGCCGTGGCACGCAAGGTGCTCGAGCCGATAGGTGAATCACGGATCCATTTGGCCTAGTCCCAGTGACGATGGCTGACGAAAACACTTGCCCTGGGCTCAGGGTGCTGGTGACGTACAGTGACGACCTGGGCTGGACGCACGAACGAGTGCTATTGTGGCCGCACAGTGAGGCTCGCACGAGCTGGCAGATCTACACGCCTGGCAATGACTTATACGCTGAGGACTTCGGCGACTACGCCTCGCTCATCCCCATGTCGGGGCGGAGGCGCTATCCACCGGGCGTCAGGAACGCGGTGGCGTCCAACAGGGGTCTGCAGGCAGCCGAGTTGGTCTCGCTCATCAGGCGCGGTCGAGGCGAGGCCGTCCTCGAGCACGGGCCGCTAGCGAACGGCTGGTGGGCCGGCGCTGGCCAGGACTGGCTCGGAGGCAGGCTGGACATCCCCGCGCCGACGGCTGTGGAGGTCCCTCGCGCGCGGCGCCGCCTGCGCAGGAAGGGCGCGGAGGTCCAGACCGACCTCCCTGTGCTCGGTGACGGAAGCCCTCCGCCCCCGCCGCCGCCTTCGGAGCGGCCGCCAGGGTCGTGGGTTCGTTGCTCCTTCGAGGACAGCGACTTCGGCCAGATGGTACCCCTCCCAGCAGCTGCCATCCTGCGAGGCCGCTACGGGCTCGACAAGGATGAGATGGGCGAGTGGCGTCTCATAGAGTACGCGCTGGACGATCAGGCCGACAGCTGGCGAGATGACAAGCTGGTGGCGGCGGATCGGCAGCGGCCACCACGAGGCGCCCTTGACGATCGGCTCTTCGGCGGCGGCGGGGGCGGTACCGCAACGCCCCCTGGGGAGCCCACGGTTGCGGCTGTCGCAGCGGGCACCGGCGAGGAGCAGGCCGAGGATCTGCGCACGTGCTGGATCGACGTTGACGAGACAGGTTCGAGGTTCAAGGGGTGGCGCAAGGTAGTGCAGGAGAGCACGCAGGAGGTGTTCTCGGACTCGAGCCTGCGCGGGCCGCCTGCCTGCCTGGAGGTGCGCCGTAAGATGTATCGGCACGGCGGCACGCCCAAGATCTGGTTCCAGGAGTGGTGCAAGGAGACGGGGATCTCTCGACGGGATCGTGCATACCACGAGGTGCAGACACTCATCGAGTGTCTGTACCTCGCGGGCACCTACGACCAGGTGAACATGGGTGCGCTGGCGTCGCTGGAGGTGATCGCCCGCCGGCTGCTGCAGTACACGGAGGCATGCGCGCACGGTGCGGACCACGCGAACTGGGCGGCGGCGAAGCACCTGGCGGGGACGACGAACCCGCTGGACCTGGTGCCCGAGGCGCTGCGGAGCTACGCCAGCCGGCTGAGCAAGGAGGAGCACGAGCTCGAGGCGTTGCGGGCGCGGGCAAAGACGCTTGCGGCCTTTTCGGCTGAGGGCGGTCGCGGCGCTGCGGCTGCCGCGGTGGACGCTGGCGGCTTGCCGATCGGACCCGACCCGCCCGCTCGGGTCCGACGCCCGCCGCCTGACAACGACGACGACGACGACGACGACGACGACGACGACGACGACGACGACGACGACGGTGGCGGCGGCGGCGGCGGCGGCGGCGACGGCCACGCCGACGGCGACGACGGCGCCGGTGAAACCAGCGCGGGCGAAACCAGCGCCGGGGAAACCAGCGCATGCCCCTCCCTCGAGGCCCCGGGCCCTCGTTCCGAGGCGGGGATTTATGCATATCCACCGTCTGAGGGGTCGATCCTCGCGGACCTCCGCGGGCGGTGGATATGGATATGTTCGGGCCCATTGGCGGCCGATACTATTTATTTACACACACACACACATATATATATATATATATATATACCCCCGTGCACGAGGCCGGGGCGCCCGGGACCGCGACCTCGACGTGGCCAAAGATGGGCCCAAGACGGCAAACAGACCGCCCTCTAGACTTTGAAACGGCCCCAACAGAGCTCCGAGAGGCGTTCCAAGATGGCCTCACGAGGCCAAAATGGTTGATTTTCTTGGTTTTTTATGTTTTTAGCTTTCTTGCTTTTCTAGCTTTCCGACGCTCCACGACTGGCCCTGGAGGTTCCCACGGGAGCCCCAAGACGGCCCAACAGGACCCCAATGGAGCCTCATGACGGTCCAAGAGAGCCTCTAGACGGCGCATGAGGCCCCCCCGCGGGCCCCAAGACGGCCCAAGAGCCTCCCAAGACGGCCCAAAAGGCTCCCAAGACGGAGAGATCCGAATTCCGAGGCCATTTTGGCTCAAGCCAGTTTTGCCCGGGGCCCGATTCTGGCGCTCCCGCCCGACAGGCTCCCGCCGTAGTTCGATCATTCGCTGCCATGCGCGCGGACAGGAGCCCGTTCTTGCCGCTCCAGCTCCCTCTCGAAAGCGACTGCGAGCCAGGAGAGGTCGCCCCCGCGCGGGCCCTGCGCGCGCCGCGCGCGCAGCGCGCTCGGGCCGCGGCGGCAGCGCTGTCGGCGGCTGCGGCGGCGCTGGCTCTGCTGGCTATGGCTTGGCGCGCGGGGCCCTCCACGGGGGCCGCGACTCTTGCCTCGCCTGAGGCTATCATTGTCGAGGCCGCCAGCGCAGATGCCAACGAATCAGCGGATCCTGACGAGAGCGACCCGTGCTCGCAGACCGGGGCGTCCTGCGCAGTTTCCAAGTGCTGCTCTGAGCCAGGCTCGAAGTGCTACAAGAAGAACGACTACTGGTTCGCGTGCAACCAAACCTGCAACCCATACTACATGTGGAAGGACGGCGGCTGGGTCAAGACAAACGAGACAGTCTGGGATTGCGAGGAGATCCGGCCGCCGTGCACGCCTAACGGAGAGTCTTGCGCACTTTCCAAGTGCTGCTCTGAGCCAGGCATGAAGTGCTACAAGAAGAACGATTATTGGAGCTCGTGCAATCAAACTTGCAACCCAAACTACTTGTGGATGGAGACCGGCTGGGTCAAGACGGACGACACACACTGGGACTGCGAGGTCATCACTATCGATAGTACCGATGTTTCGACTGATTCCGATGCTGGTAATGCTGCTGATGCCGTTGCTTCGACAGACTCCGAGTGCTCGCCAAACGGGGAGTCTTGCGCACAGACCATGTGCTGCTCTGAGCCTGGCGCAAAGTGCTACAAGAAGAATGACCATTGGAGCTCGTGCAACCAAACTTGCGACCCTTTCAGTGTGTGGGAGGTGGACCGCTGGGTGGTGACGAACGAGACAGTCTGGGACTGCGAGGAGGTTCGGCCGCCGTGCACGCCCAACGGGGCGTCTTGCGCACTTTCCCAGTGCTGCTCTGAGCCAGGCGCGAAGTGCTACAAAAAGAACGATTATTGGAGCTCGTGCAATCAAACTTGCAACCCAAACTACTTGTGGATGGAGACCAGCTGGGTCAAGACGAACGAGACAGTCTGGGACTGCGAGGACCTCACCGTGAGTCCTGTCGAATCAGCAGATCCCATCGCTGATGCAGAAGCCGAGGACGAGAAAGGCACGTGCTCGCAGGATGGGGCGTCCTGCGCACTTTCCCAATGCTGTTCTGAGCCCGGCTCGAAGTGCTACAAGAAAAATGACCATTGGAGTTCGTGCAACCAAACCTGCAACCCGTACTACATGTGGAAGGACGGCGGCTGGGTCGAGACGAACGAGACAGTCTGGGACTGCGAGGAGGTTCGGCCGCCGTGCTCGCAAGCCGGGGAGTCTTGCGCACTTACACAGTGTTGTTCTGAGCCAGGCGCAAGTTGCTACAAGAAAAACGACTACTGGTTCGCGTGCAACCTGACTTGCGACCCCAATTCGATGTGGATGGAGGACCGCTGGGTCAAGACGAACGAAACAGTCTGGGACTGCGGGGTCATCGCTATCGAAAGTACTGATAATGCCACCGATGCCGCTGATACCGATGCTCCAGCAGACTCCGCTAGCAGCTCCGATGCCTCGACAGCCTCCGCCTGCTCTCAGAACGGGGAGTCTTGCGCACAGACCATGTGCTGCTCCGAGCCTGGCGCAAAGTGCTACAAGAAGAATGACCATTGGAGCTCGTGCAACCAAACTTGCGACCCGCTCAGTTTGTGGGAGGTGGACCGCTGGGTGGTGACGAACGAGACAGTCTGGGACTGCGAGGAGGTTCGGCCGCCGTGCACGCCCAACGGGGCGTCTTGCGCACTTTCCCAGTGCTGCTCTGAGCCAGGCGCGAAGTGCTACAAGAAGAACGATTATTGGAGCTCGTGTAATCAAACTTGCAACCCAAACTACTTGTGGATGGAGACCGGCTGGGTGGTGACGAACGAGACAGTCTGGGACTGCGAGGACCTCACCGTGAGTCCTGTCGAATCAGCAGATCCCATCGCTGATGCAGAAGCCGAGGACCAGAACAACACGTGTTCACAGAATGGGGCGTCCTGCGCACTTTCCCAGTGCTGTGCTGAGCCTGGCTCGAAGTGCTACAAGAAGAACGACTACTGGAGTTCGTGCAACCAAACCTGCAACCCGTACTACATGTGGCAGGTGGACCGCTGGGTCGAGACGAACGAGACAGTCTGGGACTGCGAGGAGGTTCGGCCGCCGTGCACGCCTAACGGAGAGTCTTGCGCACTTTCCAAGTGCTGCTCTGAGCCAGGCATGAAGTGCTACAAGAAGAACGATCATTGGAGCTCGTGCAATCAAACTTGCAACCCAAACTACTTGTGGATGGAGACCGGCTGGGTCAAGACGAACGAGACAGTTTGGGACTGCGAGGTCATCACTATCGATAGTACCGATGTTTCGACTGCCTCCGATACGACTGACTCCGCGAGCAGCTCCGATGCCTCGACATCCTCCGTGTGTTCGCCAAACGGGGAGTCTTGTGCACTTACCAAGTGCTGCGCTGAGGCTGGCTCGAAGTGCTACAAGAAAAATGGCAATTGGAGTTCGTGCAACCAATCTTGCGACCCAAACTCCATGTGGCAGGTGGACCGCTGGGTCACGACGGACGAGGCAGTCTGGGACTGCGAGGAAGTCAGTCTCCCGTGCTCGCCTAACGGGGCGTCTTGCGCACTTTCCCAGTGCTGCTCCGATCCTGACTCGAAGTGCTACAAGAAGAACGACCATTGGATCGCGTGCAACCAGACCTGCGACCCGAACTCCATGTGGACGGAGGGCGGCTGGGTGGTGACGAGCGAGGCAGTCTGGGATTGCGGGGAACACATTATCGATGGTTCTGAAGCTTCGCAGAATCTCTGGGACTGGTTGCTCCACCTGTTCGGTAGGTAGCAGTTCGCAGTCCCAGTCGTCGTTTCCTCACCTCTCGTCTCGCATTCCCTCACTTCCCCCTTCATCTCATCTTGTCCTTCTCGTGCTCTCCCATGAAGGGCTGCGCCCATTTAGGGCGCCAAAATGCTAATCAACAGATCGTTGATCAGACAGGCCCAGAGGAAGCATTCCACTCATCAGGCGTTCTCAGCATACTGGAAGGGACGGTCAGAGAGCGCGTTTTCAATTTTTTTGAGTTGCCACAGGTCTGTATTGCATGTCAGGCCGTTGGGCTACTTCTTCACATTCTGTCAGTGACCCTGACGAAGGAGTGGAGGCCTTCAGTTGTGAAGTTTTGAATTGCCTTCTGCTCTGATATTTAGCTATCCGCGGCAAGTGCCGCCACAGTGCCTGCCCAGCATTCTGGTTGGCGATGTTTCGAGTTGATCTGCGAGCATGGGCGGGGGGGGGGTACAGAGCAGCACAACGTGCAGGCACGGTGGCGGAGCGGATGCCGCGATGCCCACCTGAAAGCTTGGCGTGGGCGCCGCTGTTAAGCAAACAGTAGTTCCTTTGCTGCAGGTAAAAAAAAGACGGGGAGATCCGAATGGACTTTTCGGGCCGTCGGCCCCAAGAAGCTCCCAGGAGCCCCAAGAGGCGCCCAGGAGGCCCCCAAGCAGCCCCAGAGGCCTCCAAGAACCCCCCCAGAGAACTCCGAGAGGCGATCCGAGATGGCCTCACGAGGCCAATATCGTTGATGTTCATTGGTTTTGACGATGTTGTTTGCTTTCTCGCTTTTCCAGATATCCGACGCTCCAAGACGGCCCTGGAGGCCCCCAAGAGAGCCCCAAGACAGCCCAAGAGTACCCCAAGGGAACCCCATGACGGCCCAAGAGAGCCCCAAGACAGCCCAGGGACCCCCAAGCGCGCCCCAAGACGGCCCAAGAGCCGCCCAAGACGGCCCAAGAAGCCCCCAAGACGGGGAGGACCCGGATGGACTGTGCGGGCTCCGGCCCCAAGAAGCCCCCAGGAGCCCCAAGAGGCGCCCAGGAGGCCCCCAAGCAGCCCCAGAGGCCTCCAAGAACCCCCCCAGAGAACTCCGAGAGGCGATCCGAGATGGCCTCACGAGGCCAAAATCGTTGATGTTCATTGGTTTTTGCAGAATGTTTTCTGCTGTCTCGCTTTTCCAGATATCCGACGCTCCAAGACGCCCTTGGAGCTGCCCAAGAGAGCCCCAAGACGGCCCAAGAGGACCCCAAGGGAGCCCCATGACGGCCCAAGAGAGCCCCAAGATAGCCCAGGAGGCCCCCAAGCGAGCCCCAAAACGGCCCAAGAGCCGCCCAAGACGGCCCAAGAAGCCCCCAAGACGGGGGGGGATGCGAATTGGTTGTGCGTTGCACGTGATTGCTTTGAGGTTTTTTAGATGTTGCAGCCCTCCGGCAGCCCCCCATATCGCTGTTGGGGCTCAAGCTTTTCAGCGGGTATGCGAGCCTACCCGACCAGCGCGGTAGGCGCCGTGGCCACGTTCCTGGCCAGGTTCTTGGCGCACGACGTGCTGGGGCCCGCGCTGGTGCACGAGGCGAGCGGCCTGCCTCCGCGCAGCGGGCCAGGCCACGAGCTGGAGGCCAGCTCAGCTCGACGAGCAGCACCTCCACGAGCACCAGCACCGTGCTGGCTTGCTCGTGCCCGGCGCCGCCGGCGCCGAAGGAGCCCGAGCCGTCGCCGCTTCGAGTGGCAGGCGCGGGGCTCGACGCGACCGTGGAGGTGCCGCTTGCCGTGGTGCTGGGCGTCGGGACGCTGGTGACGCTGGCCGCCGCTGCTGGCTGCTGGAGCCGAGTGGAGGACCAAGCCGTGGCACGCAAGGTGCTCGAGCCGATAGGTGAATCACGGATCCATTTGGCCTAGTCCCAGTGACGATGGCTGACGACAACACTTGCCCTGGGCTCAGGGTGCTGGTGACGTACAGTGACGACCCGGGCTGGACGCACGAACGAGTGCTACTGTGGCTGCACAGTGAGGCTCGCACGAGCTGGCAGATCTACACGCCTGGCAATGACTTATACGCTGAGGATTTCGGCGACTACGCCTCGCTCATCCCCATGTCGGGGCGGAGGCGTTATCCACCGGGCGTCAGGAACGCGGTGGCGTCCAACAGGGGTCTGCAGGCAGCCGAGTTGGTCTCGCTCATCAGGCGCGGTCGAGGCGAGGCCGTCCTCGAGCACGGGCCGCTAGCGAACGGCTGGTGGGCCGGCGCTGGCAGGACTGGCTCGCAGGCAGGCTGGACATCCCCGCGCCGACGGCTGTGGAGGTCCCTCGCGTGCGGCGCCGCCTGCGCAGGAAGGGCGCGGAGGTCCAGACCGACCTCCCTGTGCTCGGTGACGGAAGCCCTCCGCCCCCGCCGCCGCCTTCGGAGCGGCCGCCAGGGTCGTGGGTTCGTTGCTCCTTCGAGGACAGCGACTTCGGCCAGATGGTACCCCTCCCAGCAGCTGCCATCCTGCGAGGCCGCTACGGGCTCGATAAGGATGAGATGGGCGAGTGGCGTCTCATAGAGTACGTGCTGGACGATCAGGCCGACAGCTGGCGAGATGACAAGCTGGTGGCGGCGGATCGGCAGCGGCCACCACGAGGCGCCCTTGACGATCGGCTCTTCGGCGGCGGCGGGGGCGGCACCGCAATGCCCCCTGGCGAGCCCACGGTTGCGGCTGTCGCAGCGGGCGCCGGCGAGGAGCAGGCCGAGGATCTGCGCACGTGCTGGATCGACGTTGACGAGACAGGTTCGAGGTTCAAGGGGTGGCGCAAGGTAGTGCAGGAGAGCACGCAGGAGGTGTTCTCGGACTCGAGCCTGCGCGGGCCGCCTGCCTGCCTGGAGGTGCGCCGTAAGATGTATCGGCACGGCGGCATGCCCAAGATCTGGTTCCAGGAGTGGTGCAAGGAGACGGGGATCTCTCGACGGGATCGTGCATACCACGAGGTGCAGACACTCATCGAGTGTCTGTACCTCGCGGGCACCTACGACCAGGTGAACATGGGAGCGCTGGCGTCGCTGGAGGTGATCGCCCGCCGGCTGCTGCAGCACACGGAGGCATGCGCGCACGGTGCGGACCACGCGAACTGGGCGGCGGCGAAGCACCTGGCGGGGACGACGATGCCGAGGCGCTGCGGAGCTACGCCAGCCGGCTGAGCAAGGAGGAGCCTGAGCTCGAGGCGTTGCGGGCGCGGGCAAAGACGCCTGCGGCCTTCTCGGCTGAGGGCGGTCGCGGCGCTGCGGCTGCCGCGGTGGACGCTGGCGGCTTGCCGATCGGAGGCGGCGATGGAGGTGGCGGGGCTGGAGACGGTGCCGATGCAGGCCGCGGCCGTGGCCGCGACCGAGGCCGAGGCGGGCGGGGTCGAGGCCCCCGCCCGCCGGACTCATGACGTCCTCGGCGGAGGGGGGCGGGCGCCCGACCGTTCCCTGCAGATCGAAGGGCACCAGAGGGCTACGCGGCGCTTCCTTCTTGCCGCTGACCCGCCTGAGCGAGCTGCCTCCCGAGTGGTGCGAGGGGCTCAGCGCGGCGCAGCGCCGTCGCTGGCTTCGGGACGGCAGCGCTGCTTGCGAAAGCTTGAATTACTTGCATGGAGGCATCCACCGAGGCGATCGGGCACCAGCGAGCCTGACAAGCCAGATGAAGACGGATGCCATTTCCGCGGACGTGCAGCAGCGCGTTTTCTCGGCGGCTCGCCGGTGGATAGACGTTGACAGCGCCGTCAGTGAGGAGGAGGCCCTTGCCAGGCTTCTTAAGGGCAAGGCGGGGTATGCCCCCCTTGGCTCGACCAGCATGGGCTCCTACGAGTACTCGCGGGTGAGCTTGCCAGACAGTGTCGTCGACGCGCCGCCTCTGGCCACCATGCTCCCTGCGCAGGCAAAGCAATACCTGAAGCAGCACTAATACGAGAACTCGATGGGCTTCCTGGTTGTCACGCCGACCCTCTGTTGCTGCAACGGCCGCGGAGCTATGGGAAGTTCGCGCGGCGAGCGCTCTCGATAGGCCTAGTCACTTTGACACGGAGGCCTAAGAGCGTGCTTGGATTATTCGTTGTGAAGAAGAAGGATGGGGCTCGTCTTCGCCTCATCGTCGACTGCAGGCGGAGCAACGCCTTGTTTCGCCCTCCTCCTGGGGTCGACTTGCTGTCGGGCGAGGGGCTCGGCCGCATAGAGATGCCCATCATGGAGGCCTCCGACTTTGCCGGGCTCTGTGCGGTGCTTGGCATGGGCGACGTGGCCGACTGTTTCCACGGGATGAAGCTGCAGGGCGACATCAGGCACTATTTCTGCTGGCCGCCACTGGATGCTGCTCTGACTGGAGAGACACTGGTCGAAGGGCGCCCTGTGCACGCCGGCGAGCAGGTTTGGCCGATGAGCCAGAGCCTGCCAATGGGCTTTTCGTGGTCCCTGTATTTCGGCCAGGCCGCCAACCAGCGCAGGCTCGATCGACAGCCGTCGTTGGCGGGTAGCCTGCGTGTGAGCGATCGCGGGCCGCCGCTTGTCCTTGGACGAGGTCCCGCGGGCTCGGAGTTGGGCCACTACATGTGCGTCGACAATGCTGGCGTGATCGGTTTCGACGCAGCGCGTGTGACATGCGCGCTGCAGGAGGCCCAGCGTGTCTTCGATGGCGATCATCTGAAGTTCCACGAGGTGGAGGCGATGCCTGAGGGAGGTCGCACCCTGGGCTGCTCTCTCGACGGCAGGCACCGAGCGACCCGCCCTACTGACGAGAGGTTCGCCATGGTGCGGAAGGGGTTGAGGTGCCTGCTGAGGAGACGCAAGGTTGCCGGCTGGCAGCTGGAGATGGCGCTGGGCCACATGGCCTTCATGGCCCTGGTTCGCCGCGAAGTGTTGTCCATCTTCCACTCGGTCTACGCCTTTGTGGCGCAGAGCTACCACGCCTTCTCCGTGCAGTGGCCCACCGTGCGCGAGGAGTTGAAATGCTACCTGGGCATCATGGTGATGCTGGAGTCGAGCTGGACCAGGCCGTGGATGCCAGTGGTCTACTCCTCCGACGCCAGCCTGCACGGCTACGGCGTGGCGGAGGCCTGCTTCGGGACCGAGACGGTGGCGGAGATCGGCCGCGTTTCGGAGCTGGCGCTGTGGCGGCTGGGTGCTGGGCTAGCGAGACAGCATGCCTTCGAGTGCGCTGGCTTCCTCTTGGACAGCGAGACCGGCGAGGTTGTCCGAGATGAGGCGGGGGCCCCGAAGCGGCTGGACGCCGAGCTCCAGCGCGTGCTGGCCAGCGAGCGCTGGGAGCTGGACCCGAGCTTCCCCGAGGTGCCCAGCTGGCTCCTGCACGACTCGCATTGGGCCACGGTCATGGCCGACCGATGGGCCTTCGCCGATGATATCCTTAGACTCGAGGCACGAGCGTTGGTGAAGGCTGCAGCTCGTGCCGCGCACTGTCAGCCTGTAAAAGAATGCCGTTCTCTTTTGTTAGGAGATAATATCGCTATCGCGTTGTGTTTTTGCAGGTTCAGGTCCAGGGATTTCCGGCTTCTAATTCATGTCCGCCGCTTCGCTGCCCTGTGCCTTGCTAGAGACATCAAGTTTGTTGTTCGTTGGATTCCGTCTGAGTTCAATTCTGGCGACGAGGGAAGTCGAAGGTTCGATCCTGCTTATGATGCCCAGAAGACCCTCGTTGCCCATCCTGGCTCAAACTCGTTGTCACCCCAGGTTCCTGCGGACCCTGTCGATGCTCCCGCAGCGGAGGCCCGTGGCAGTAGAGAGCAGTCGGCGGCGGACGCTGAGCCGCACTGCGGCGCCGACGCCGGCCGCCCCGCTCGAGACAGGCCGCAGGCGGACGCGGGCGCTGAGCAGCCCTGGTCGCCGGCTGGATTCAGGAAAACCGCCGCCGGCGCAGAGGTCTCGCACGCTGGACCAGAGCCGCGGGCCGGCCGCGAGGCTGGTGCTGGAGGGCGCCGCCCGACCGCCGCAGCAGAGCTCAGTGGAAGCTTGCTTGCGGCTGAGCCCCGGCGGGCCGCGCCAGGCCGACCAGGCCGTCGCCGGCCACGAGGTTGCCGAGGTCGCGGCGGAGAGCGAGAGCATCGAGAGCAGCGACGCCGAAGAGCCGCCGGCTGCCGCGCGTTCCCGAAGGCGTCTGGAGACGCGCGGGAAGGCTCGGATCAGGAAGGCGATCGAGGTGCTAGAGACCGCAGAGTCGGGCAGGGACGACGTGAAGCTGGGCATCAGCTACCTCGAGAAGAGGTCGGTGGGCGCAGGCACCTTGGAGACCCACCGCCAGTGCGCGCTCGCATTCTGCGTCTGGGCCCGCTGCTGCCTCGCAGCCTGCCCGAGCTCAAGGAGCTGGACGGCCAGCTGGTCGAATACATGAACGAGGAGTTCTTGAAGGGCGTCAAGGCCTGGCGGGGCGAAAAGCTGCTCGCTGGGCTGATGTTCTTCCACCCGGACTTCGGCCGCCTGGGCGGGTTGCATCTGCCGAAGTCATTGCGCTGCCTGAAAGGGTGGAAGAAGCTTTCACCATCTCGATCTCGGAAGCCCTTGGTGTTCGCGATCTGGGCGGCGTTGGCAGTGGAGCTCTGCCGCCTGGGGGCGCCTCTGGTAGGCGCGATGGTGCTAATCATGGTGTAGTGCTACCTTCGGCCAGGAGAGATGTTGAGCCTCACGAGCGATTCATTTCTGGCGCCGACGGAGCATGCAGTGCAGAACTGGGTTGTATGGCTGTTTCCAGAGGCTGGGGTGGCTCGGAGCAAGGTGGGGTCAGCGGACGATACCATCCCTTGCGATTCAGGACGTTGCCCGTGGATGTGTCACATCTTCAAGGCTTTGAAGGATCGCCAGTCATCCCGGCCCCTCCTGGACTTGAGCTACCCGCAGTTCCTGTGCCTCTTCCGGAGAGCGGCCACGAACATCGGAGTCGACGTCGTCCCATACCAAGGCCGGCACAGCGGAGCATCGCTGGATCGGGCTACGGGGCGACGCCCTCTGGAAGAGGTTCAGAAAAGAGGGCGATGGGCTGCGATGAGTTCGGTGAAGAGATACGAAAAGTCAGGACGACTGAACGAGAGCTGGGAGAAGCTGGGCGACGCCTCCAAGGCACACTGTGCCGCGGCGGCAAACCTGCTGCAAGAGGTGCTGCCGCTGGGGCGCCCCGCGCCTGCGCCGCCGCTCGGCGGCCGGGAGGGCTGTCGCGGGCTCCGCTGAGCTCGCAACTGGCCGCTGTTTCCGCGCCGTATCTGCTGGATCTCTTTTCTGGTGGAGGCGGAGTCGGAGGCTTTGCCAAGCGACTTGGCTTCAATTCAGTGTCGTTGGACCTGCGAAATGGGGATGATCAGGATGTGTGCAGTGCCAATAATCTAGATGGGATTCTCGCCCATGTTGAGGCTGGGCTCATCAGATCAGTCATGTTGGCACCTCCTTGTTTTTCTTTCTCTCTAGCTCGTAACAGGTATCCTGTCAGAAGTGCGCAATATTCAGAGGTTTTGCCATCCCTGCGTCCAACCGACCAGACCACAGTCAGCATAGGTAACCTCTGTAAGCGCGTGGCCGTGTACATCGCTCGGTTGTGCCATGTTTTCGGAGTGCCGTTCGCGTTGGGGAACCCTCAAACCTCGTACATGTGGCGATGCCGAGATATCATGAAGCATGTTTTGAGCTGTAGCCGAACTCTGGATCTGCACCAGTGCGCCTTCGGATCCAGGTGGCGGAAGGCGACCAAGCTGGCCCTGGGATGTGTCACGGAGGCGGGAGACTTCGCCTTAGCCTACCCGGGGGCCCTACGTTGCCGAGGCAAACACGGATACTGTTCCTTCAGGCCTGGCCATCAACATGTAGTCGTGGAGGGAAAGGTTGTGACTTTGAAAGCCGCTGCGTACCCCTTTCGCTTCGCTCGCTGGCTGTGCACTGTCTTGCTCGACCTGTGAACGAAGGTGATCTGTATGTGGCAAATCATATCTCCTCACATGCAGAGGTTGACGCCTTCCCCGACACCGTTGAATGGTCTATACCGCTACGCTTTGCGAATATGTTGGAGTGTGTTCGCCGATTGCACGTCTCGATAACCTGGTCGCGACCATATGGTATCAGAGTTCACCACTGAAAAGACGCCAGAGCATGGTTGTGCGTTGCACGTGATTGCTTTAAGGTTCTTTAGATGCTGCAGCCCTCCAGCAGCCCCCCATATCGCTGCTGGGGCTCAAGCTTTCCCACCCTCAGCCACCCTGGACCTGCCCTATATAGTGCACGCCCCTTTTAACCTTCTTCACTCCCTCCTTTCGTAAGGAGTGTGTTCGCCGTTTGCACGTCTCGATAACCTGGTCGCGACCATATGGTATCAGAGTTCACCATTGAAAAGAAGTCAGAGCAGGACTTTTCGGACCCTCGGCCCCAACAGGCCCCCAGGTGGCCCAAGAGACGCCAGGACGCCCCCAAGCAGCCCCAGACTCCTCCAATAACCCCCCAAGAGGCCCCCGAACAGCTCCCAAGAGGCCCCAAACAGCTCTCTGACCGGACGCCCTCAAATACTCTTGCCCCTCCCGCGCCCGCCCGTCGCTGCGCCTGCACGCCCTGCTCCAAACGGAAGAAAGTGTGGCTCAAGCTGTTTGGGCTCTCGCCGTTTAGGCTTCGGAGGCGCGGCATTGCCAATGTTAAGAGCGAGCGCAAGTGTGACTAGAACCCAAACGCGCGCGAAGCGCGCGCGTGGTTCTAGTGTGTATATACACACAGATACACAAATGTCGGTACCATATGCTGTATCATATTGTAGTAGTAAAAAGGATACTATAATACAATAGACTAGAGTGTATTAGATATACGAGTACCATATCATGTAATATATTTTTATATCCGAGTATGATGCACTGTATTAAAATTGTGTTATACACCAGTATATCATAAATTATGATGTAGCACGGGACAGTCGTAGTTATATAGTATTATACATCGCACCATCCTACACTATATTATGGTATAACACCCGTCAGCTTAACATACGATGATGGAGCAGCATAACAAGCCATTGCATGCTATAGTATAATACAGAATAGGGTAATAAAATATAGCTGAATGTGCATAAAATATACCATCATAGAATACATAGATCAGACTGTACCACCATAAACTATAATATGATATGTACTATCATATAGTGTTCAGTACAATTACAACATACATGTTAATATACTACATCATGCAATGATATAATATAATAGACCGTAGCATAACATGCTACACTACAGAAAAGTATACTATAACATAATACATCATATTACACCATGGTGTAGTATAACAGTAATTCATTGCATGACATATTATGATAATGTATAATGTGCGATGCTACGTATAACGCAATAGAATACATCCGGATGGTGTCTGTTACATATATATATATATAGAGAGGGAGAGAGAGAGAGATGCTAAGTCCCGCCCCTGTGATCCACCTCGCGCTCTTGTGTTTCTGGAGTCGCATGAAGAAGACTCCTGACATGTAAGGGCGCGGTGCTCGTGAGTCTACAGACCGATTTATCTCACCCACCTACACCAAAGCATCTCTCCCGTTTTCAGAAATAGATCTTGGCCAACATTCCAAGAGCACCATTGTGCAGAACGCACTCGGTCGTCGAGTAACGTTTCGGAAGAGCCAGCCGCTGACCGCGTTCCAACGTGTTTTCCTACGTGTCTCCAGCAACGGTATATTATTTGTGTTTCGCCTTTCGTATGGATCACTTGGCCATCGACCTTGTGAGAAAATAACTATACATACATCGGGCGTATTGTGTGCCCATTTCGGAGCTTCTTGGGTTTATGTACTACGCAATCGTGAATAATCCCACGCAGATATCTCTTCCGATTCTCTCCGCGCTTGTAAGACCGAGCGCCGTCTGTGTGCAGAAATACGCGCCGACCTTCCAACCACTTTTTGGCGATCTGGGCCCGGTCCGTCTTCTTGATTCGGCCAGCGCCCTGGGCGGCGGGCTACGGGAGCTCGATGGCCTCCAAGACTCTTGGGGCTCCCGAGCGCGCCAAGCCAGCCCCAAGAGAGCCCCATGAGGGCCCCAAGCGAGCCGCAGGAGGAGAGTTCAAGAGGCATCGAATATCGCTTCAAGAGGGCCCCACGATGGCCCCGAGAGGCCTCCATGACGCTCTCATGGTCGTGGTGCCTTGACTACTGGCGAGGCCTTGATGGTTGACTCCGGTCTTCGTCGTCGTCGTCGCCGTCGTCGTCCTATAGTAATTTTCTTCAAAAGGAATCCGGTTGTAATGCTCCACGAAAGGATTCCTATTGCAATCTTTCTCAGAAGGATTCCTATTGTAATCCTTCCCAAAAAAATACCTATTGCAATCATTCGCAACGGGAATTTGATTGCAATCCTCCACGAAAGGAATCCGATCGAATCCTTCCACAAAAGGAATCCGATTGTAATCTAACTTTCTTCAAAAGGAACCCGGTTGTAATCTTCCGCAGAGAAGGACTATTATTGTAATCTTCCGCCAAAGGAATCAAATCCCAGTGCGATTGCCACAAAAGGGTTCCTATTGTAATCCTTCGCAATAGAAATCATATCTTGATCTTCCACATAAGGAATCCCAGTGTAATCCTCCACAAAAGGATTTCTATATGATTTTCCAAGTTTCCGAATACGTGCGATAGATATAGTGTTGTTTGTTTGTTTTTTATGTTGTCTGTTGTTTGTTGCTGCTCTGGTTTTTTTTTGCTGTGCAGGCTATAGGAAGCTCTGATTCCAGGATTTCCAAACATTGTGTTTGTTGCTTCCCGCCTTGGTTTTTGCTGCGCAGGCACAGGGAAGCTCAAGGTCGATGAACATCGGTTTTAAGATTCGGCGCCACGGGCTTGTTGAAAATATAGTGGCTGGCCTTGCGCTTCCCTGTGCCTGGACAGCAAAAACCAAGGCGGGGAACAAAACAAACAAATTGTTCAGGTTTTCAATAAGATTCTCTTTGTGGTGGATTACACTAGGACCCTTTTAGTGGAGGATTACAAAAGGACTCCTTCTGTGAAGGATGACGCCAGGAATCCTTTTTGTGGAGGATTACAATCGAATTCCTTGTGTGGCAATTACAAGAAGATGTTTTTGAAGAGGATTACATTCGGATTTTTTTCGTGGAGGATTACAATAGGGTTCCTTTCGAAGAGGATTACAATCGGATTCCTTCCGTGGAGGATTACAATAGGATTCCTTATGTGGAGGATTACACTAGAAATCCCTTTGTGAAGGATAATAGGAACACTTTTGTGGAGCATTACACTAGGATGCCTTTCGAAGAGGATTACAGTTTCAGGTAGATCTCAGCAGCCAAGCAAAGGAGCGTGCACAAAGCACGAGGGAGAGAGAGAGAGAGAGAGAGAAAACGAAAACAACAATATATGACAAAAGACAGCCACATATGTATCGCAGGAGAGAGAGAGAGAGAGAGAGAGAACAACAAAAAAGAAAAAAGAGAGAACGTTTGAGAGACGAGGGAGGGGAGGCACAGAGAGAAGATAAGGAGAAAACAACAAACGGAAAAGCGTGAGGTGGATCACAGGGGCGGGGCTTACCATATATATTATATATATATATATATATATATATATATATATATATATGTCGGCGGTGCGCCGTGGCACGAACCCCCCCCCCAGCACTACCGGGGGGTTTCGTGCACTACCGGGGGGTTTCGTGCAGCCCGCACCGGGTGCCGCCAGCGGCTTAGAACACCCCCCCCTTGCCGCTTTACCGGGGGGGTTCGTGCAGGCCGCATTGGGTCCTCCCCTGTCGCTTTACCGGGGGGGTTCGTGCAGGCCGCACTGCGTCCACCTGGGCTCCCCCCCCCCCCTGTGGGAGTGGGGGGGTGGGAGTGGGGGGTGGGTTGGGGGGGGGCAGGGGGGCGGTTGGGAAGGGTGGCTCCCTGTCGAAGTGTGGCGTGTGCTCGCCTTGTGTTCTCTATTCGCGTCTGCTCGCCTTTGTTCCGCCGCAGCCTCTCGTATTGTGGCTCGTGGCCACAATACGAGAGGCTGCGGCGCAACTCCCGAGAGCCGCTGTGGGGGGTCGACGGCACGGCCGCGTAGAGAAGAACAGTGCCGCCGTGTTCCGGCACGGCCCTGGGATGCAATGCCGCCGCCGTGTTCCGGCCCGTCCTGGTAAGATTCGCGCGTCGGGGCTGGGGTTCGCGCCG